CCCCATATAGTAAATATCGTATTTATTTTATTATATCAGATGTGCGCCAGCCGACTGTGGAGTCACCCGCCAGTGTAGGTAGACGTGCTCCGCATCGCGATACAATCTCCGTCCTATAAATGGAACAGTTTTAAATGGCGTGTAAAGAACACGGTCATACAGTGACTACTAATGCACAAGTCGAATCACGGACTTATACAGACAACGTACAATATTTTACTACACACACTTAAGCCTATTTTTCATGGTCCAATACACAGTTAAGATTGTCCTCGGGAGCAATTCTGCCCACCAGCAGACAAAACCCTACAAACGAAGATACATACATTTTTACACTAAACATGGGATTCAAACTCGCGACCATGGCAAACGCCTCGCCACTGTATGCAAAACACAAACAACTTATCTAATATTGAAGATTGGAACTGTTCACCATATAACTATCGCTGACTAAAACCTGGGTGGCTGGCGTTTCATCATGAGTTGAGATAATGCAAAACGGTTATCCTTGGCCATGACCGGAAATGTATATAACTTTAATATGAGGATTGAATAACAGTTGTTGTCCTGGTTTGTCAGTTGCCGTTGTTGTGATTTTGCGCTTCAATTCGCATACAATATTATCAAACATGCTATGATACAATGATTAAATATTTATCAATTATGTTGAAAACTGTTATTAGATACAATTACTATATTTGATTGTGTTAACATTCTTTGAATGGTATTCACGTACATTATAAACATATTGTATTGAAGTGGCATAGTATACGCATACTACGTGGGTAATTCGTACATGTCACCAGGAAATTACCTATCAGATTTTTTTACACTTATATGGAAACCGATAGAGATGTGTGGACGCCATTGGGAAATATGATGTTTTCAGATGCTTTCATTTATAAGCTGTGTTGATCTGATAATACGATTTGCAGCAATTGAATTAAAACATCAGTCTGACGATGATGACAATTCCACGATTCCCCGCAGTACGCTGTAAAAAACATTCTACATTCTCATTTGCAATTCATCATGAACTTCATTAGCGTCTGCTACCGCCAAGTACATGTGCAGATCCAATCCCGCGACTGATTGACATTCCTCGTTCATGGTAAACGTTTAGATTATTCTTGTTTTCTTACTTTTAACTACTGAGAGAAATATGATATTGGTTCATTTCGCGGCTTAACCTGTTATTTGTGTACTTCATACATTTTGTTCGACTTTGCCAGATGTATTTCATATTCAGCATGCTTATACGTCACTGGCACATGTTTTTGCGACATATATTCCCGTGTTCTTATTTTTATGCATCTCTATCTTAGATGATCTATTATTATTATATTCATGCATGTATCATGATGTAAGAAAAATTTGAATCCTATATTATTTTAAATTTTCATAGATGAACTTTAGATTATGTTATCGTAGTCAATGGGATTAGTATGATTTTTTTAATATTCTATTTGCCGATGACGTTGTGATATTTGCTGATAATGCTATTGGATTTCACAAATTGAGCAATGTTTTTAATGGGTTCTGTGAATGTTTTAAATTGAATGGAAATACCGGGAAGTCATGGTATGGAAATGGTTATGGAAACGAAGATCATAACTGAAATGAACGGGTTGGTTATAAATGACAAGAATTTTGAAATGGATAGCTGCTATAAGTAATTGGAAATATTTGTATCATGTGGAAACGCGATACAATCTAAGGCGATGTTCTTATTGTTCAGGTTTGAGTGTAAAGTTAGAATAATCAGCTACGAGTTATATTTATTTAAAATCGTTATCGTAATTATGTCAATGAAACAGAGATTTGTGAATTCAGACTATATATCGATACCGAAGAATCAGGACCAGCGACGACAAATGAAAATTTTTTGGGGTAAATGTGCATTCTGTTGTTATAGGTGCATTAAATATTGGGGGCGACTGACTGACTACCAAATGATAGAATAGCCGTAAATGCATATAAATTGGTTTTAGGACAGATGACAATTGAAACAACTTTTGGACATCGGCAATTGAGCTGGTTTATTCTCATACGGGTTATGGGCGGCCTGGGTCACCAATAAAGTTTTGAGATTTGAGAATTGTTTTAATGTATTTAGAAAGCATGTAGAAAACATGAGTTTCCAAATAAATAGTGCAACGAGTTATGTAGTAATGACAAAACAAAAAGAATATATTGTTTTAAAAGTTTATTAGAACCAAAAAAATAGTGAACTAGATTAAACACAGAAACGCCTTACGTCGCCTACGTTGTTTGAATCACTAACTTGAAATAGAAGAAAGTCGATTCAAAGACTTACTTACAAAAGTAGTAGCAGAAATGAAACTATGTTTAGTTTGTTTAAATTGCATACAGAACGAGTTTCACTTTGTGCTATATTTTGTCCTCCAGAGAGTTATTTTATTACCAAGGATTGTATACACTTATCCTTTTAAACACAAGTGTTCTACTGTTGTTTTTTTTCTGCCAATGTTTTAATGTCATGTGAGCAAGGGCCCCTTAAGTCACTGAATAAATATATGTGATCTATCATTAAAGCTATTTGTTTTCTATTCTGTCGGATTGCATTTCATTTGCTTAGCGAACTACAAGAATACTGGTTTACATACTTGCAACCACAATTTAGAATGTGCTATAGCCAACGCTAAAGATTAAAGGAGTACCGCTGCACTAAATATTGCATTACACTTCCAGACGATTTTACCAACATGTTTCATTTATTATAAACGAATTGTTTTCTATAGAACATAAGTAAATTGTAATTAAAACCCATCTAGTGCCCCTCGACCAATCAGAATACTTCATTTCTTAACTGTTTCCAAGTCTGATTTATTTTTTTCAATTCAAATCTGTTTGTCCTCATACATTGTTCCAGAACGTGTTTATGGACCGCGTGATCAAATATGAACCACTGACTATGTTTTATTACGCTGAAAGGAAACCACAAAGAGCTCCCACAACGGAACACGTGACAGAAACGCTGCTCATTGTTGAGTATCTGGAACACGACATCGGTCATTGACGTTTGAACTACATGACGTCAGACCACGAATAATCCACGAACGTTAATCTCTATGAACATCGTACAGAGTTAACCTAATTGATGGTAGGACTTACACCACCCAATTAATATACGTAGCTGGTTAGTGTGAGTTTTAAGTCAGGCAAAATTCTCGTATTTGGACATGTTATCTTAGATCAGATTTATGCGCAAGGAAAGTCTTCGTACGAGGGTTTTATCCTATACATATAAGTATAAGATAAATAATAAAACAACGCAATCATCTACTAAACGAATGTATAGATATAATCTTCAGCGAACCTGTGGCCAGGGCTCTCGACTTAAAGCATGGGTACCCATGTTTAAGCATGGCTTTTTAAAAATCGCCTCTGAAAGCGTATATACATTTGGGAAAATATAATCCATTCCAAGTACGAACAAATTCAAAGCTCAGGATTAGAGTTTCCGTCGTGAATGATGGAATACAGATTCACCCTGGAGTTTCGCTAATGGTTTCGCCGGTTAGGTTCACAAAAGAAATTAATAACTGGAGATTGAACAATAAGCATGTGTTGAGTTTATTATTTCATTTTGAATATATATATATATATACCCTTATTTTTTATTGGTATTTATTGCCCCTGAACATCTTATTGTGACGTGACTATCTGTTTATAAACCACCTCCTATAGTACGTGTTTTCGAGTTGCAGCATGCGTGCCAAGTTGTTATATCAAATAACCCTTCCGGGTCTTGTGGCTTATGGCAGACAAACAACTCAGAACAGAGTTGTCATCCTGTTGACGCCATTACATTGAAATGTAATATTCGTGTAGAAGGCGCTGTTAACTGGGATTCGACCTGTGGTTGAACAATGAATCAAGTTTAGTTACATATTCAACAGATTTGGTAATATCTCTCAGAGATGTTGAAAGTAAGATCAAAAGTTTTAATAGTTTCCTTGAATAGCATTTATCACCGGTCAAATAAATTTCGTCTAACTGATGCAATCATTCAATTAAATGAAATACATATATGAATATATTGAACGTGCACACACACTTGTATTCCAAACTCCAGTCTGAAGTGTGTGTGTGTGTGGTTATTGTATATGGAAAATAATGTTTTCTAATAATTATATATGTACGGCAATATTCCATTTCTATCGACTGTCCGGTGCATTGCCTCAGCATCAACTATTTATTTTCAACGAATTATCAGCGAGACTGTTTTGCTAACTTCTTCTACAAATTATTGGTGAGATTGTATTTTTAACCATTAAAACATGTACAATGGGCTGTAATTGGTAGGATTTGTTTTCAAATTGTTGATATTTACAATTATACATTTTTAAATTAATGAATTCTGAATCTTCAATTTTTTAGTAATATATTTTATGGCTTGTTTTGTAATAATATTCAATCAGGTCGCTCTCACATTTTTTTCCATTTCATGATGATATGTGACTGTTTTCTCATATACATTATACAGGTGTATATCTTTTTTTTCGCCATATATAACTCGTCTATTGTTTTCATAATTCAATCTTTTTCAGATGCGTTACTATGGCAATGAAAACTTGGATTATACTTATTATAATTTCATTTATTATTCAAAACTAGATAATTATAATTATTTTTGATATGCACGACTTCCGATGGCTTTTCAATCGTTTATTGTAATGTACATGGGTATAATTTGTTTTTCCAAGAATTTGCAGTTGATATTGTTTGAATTACAATTGTATAGTTTCGAATACTGCTTGCCCGATTTGTTCTACTCAATGAATTAACAATATGGTTACTCTGTATGACATCCGGTATGTTTCTGAACGTTGAACTAGAATTGCAAATAGAGCAAATAAGCATAAGGATCCTTTTTTAAAGACCATGTTTTATTTTAGTAATGTTAAACCAACATAATACTGAGTATTATCCTTTTTAATTGTCCCAACATCGTTTCTAAATATATTACTCAGCCGTGACTTAGTGGAGATTAAAGGGTGACAATTTTCGTTTAACGTCGCCAACATGCGACGATCGCATGTAATTACATACATTCCCTGTGGGAAGAGATATACATATTGCCCATACTTTATTTAATTTAGATTGTTTGGCAATATATATATGAACACGTGGGGGCATTGGCCCATGAGCCTCCAAACATGTAACGACATTACCATTGATACTAATCATACTTGAGTTAAATATTATCATATATGATTTATACGTTGTTTACTTTGGGAGACAACATCCCCGTCAACACTCAGTACATTCTGTCACATCATCCACTCGCTGCATTGTCTCTGTCTTAGTTGGCGGGAAGGTGGTCATGTGGTATGGACGCTATGTTGCTAGGTGTTTGAAGTATCCCAACACGCATGACATCAACGCTTTGCGATTTCTTATCTCCATCGCCCCCTCGGAATGTGCCAAACAGCTTATTCCACACTAGACTGATATTTTAGTGATATCAGTAGCCGGGTCAAACTTGACGAGGTCAAATAAATATTAAGAGGGTTCTTTTCGTTCTTTGACTTCGGCTCAGCACACCGAGATCTGTCATCGCTTTTAATCACCAATAAACAAAAATAATAACAACTCATGTTTAAAACAAATGGTTTTATGAATAAATTAGTTCTTTCTAACTTGTTTTGATATCAATACATAAAATGTACGTAGGAGTGGTGATTAGTCATAATTACTGAAGGGAAATAAGGGGGAGGTTGTGTCCGATTCATACTTAAGTCATGATATCGTGACCCTAAGTGACCCAAGCACGCTGTATGTGCGTATTTGGTGTGTGGGTGGCCTGGTACGAGCCCGAGAAAACAATCGCATACTCTCAAACAAGTAGCGAAATACGAAAAGTATGTATGAAAAGACATAAAACAGCGGAACAATAGAGGATATTAACACGAAAAAAGATCTCAAGAAAGTTAAGTGGCTTTGAAATTGCCATCTCAACTGAAAATACCAAAGTCCATATATTGCAAGTCAACAACGCGATAATTTAATAGTTAACGTATTAATGATCGCAACTCCGATACGGTATGACGAATTGAATAAACAATGTCTGGTTAATAATTGTTGAACAGAGAGCACTCTGGGCGGGTAACGGCACCTGTTAAACGAGCTCAGTGAAGAGCCATTTTAATTTTCGTCCACAAATTGCCGTTGGAATTCAACGTCAAACATGGCGGACGGCCAACGGAAATCGTCGAACCAATACAGTAAGGACGATGAAGACAAAAACAGAACATGGGTGTGGGTCGTAACACTCGTGCTTCTTTTTGGTATGTTTTGTGGTATTTTGATACCGTTCGTTTTAGAGTATTCAGCGCCATATTTCTCATGGCGATGGGAAGACCCTGTATGTCCCGTTATGATGGAAGAGGAGAAAATCGACTGCTACCCTGAGGATCCCACACCAAACTGGTATAAGTGTCTTAAGAGAGGATGCTGCTGGAGACAGTCGACGACCCGAGCGCCATCGTGTTTTATGGCGCTTAACACTGGCTATAACCTCGAAGGAGAACCTCGAAAAACTGTTTCTGGATACCAGTTTGATTTGTTCAGAAGAATTACGCCTAGGGTATACGGCGGTGAAATATGGCGGCTGCGTTTGGACATCGAGATGCAGACCAACGAAAGACTACGCGTGAAGGTGAGTACCGACACATATAAAACACAAACAAAAAACAACTAATTATATTATATGTCGCAATCTACGAATTTTACTCGACTTAATGTAAAATAAGTAAAAATTGCTTTTAATTTGTCAATGTTAAAACTGTTCAAGTGTGTAAAATATTCAAATAAAATACAGAAAGAGAAACCTTAGTAGAATTGAAGATTAAACATTATAACCCGTTATTCTTTGGCCATTTTTACACGTTGTAAAAAAACGTCATACGTGCAATTCGGAGTGCAGTGGAATATGTAAATATTGACCTGGCAGCTGAATTCCAACGGCTCCAAGAAAAAAAAGCTAACACAGAATTTAAATGAACAGCAACCCACAAATAGTATCTCGGTAATAATGATCACAACTTATGCGTTTTTGAAAACTTCATTCGAAAAAGTAGAAATCAGAAAACGACAATGGTTAATGGCGATTTGCGCGGTAAGCGTTTCCATCATGGCTGCCTATTTCAGCAGGTGAGGTCAGTGCGGGGTTGGCGATAGAAACCGACTGACACGGAGTTATTCATTAACTTTATATTCAGGTGGCTGCAAAAACACGACTGTCCTCAGTCGGGATTATTATGTGTACTATAACTAGTATAAACCTGTTTTTTTTAAACGTTTTACATATTTGCCAAATGGTAATGTACGCGCGACTGAAGGTGGATCATCGGTTCACCAGAACGTTACCAATTTCTAAAAACTCACATTTTGTGAAAACAAATAATCATAATTAATAAAATAATAATAATAGTGTGATAATTGTAGATATACATGTAATAATAATCCCAGTAATATGATTGGTTCATGTATGAAGATTAAACTTTTGACATCATGTGATGTCCAAATCTCATGTTACCAATAAATCCCTGACCATCATATTCTTTAATCGCGCGAGGTTGAACTGACGGCAATTGACATCCATCGTGGACGCTGGTCATTTATTTAAATGCGATAGCATGAATTATTCCCGTGTTCATTTTGTTTGCGCCTAAAAAAGAATGCTGCAAATTCTCGAAGCAATTGAAAATTAAAACATGATAAAATAAATACAGTTCAATAATGCTAATAATTGATTTATACTAGTTCAAACCATTTTTACAATTCTTAAACTCTTATCTGAGTTTTAATCTATGATTACAAATGACCTGACGAATAAACGATTGGTCGTTTGATTTGTGTTCTTGTGCTTGTAAACTTCACCATTTGAAGTGTCTTTTAAGTATAATGGGATTTCTTGACATTATAGAATAGCCAGACAAAAAAACAAATGTGCACAATTATACCAGTCTAGCTAGTACCGTATGTGTAATATGTACATGCGAATATGTACATGTTTGAATTTCAACGTTGGGGGGGGGGGGTCAACAATTGAGCCACATTATCGACATGTGACGTTAAATGACTACATCGTATCACGTATAAATTCAACCAGTCAACACAGGCTCAAAAACAACGAGTTGAAGGAATCCAATATTGTCCACGTCGTAAGCTTTAAAACACAAATAGTAGTCAAAAATACTAAGAATTAATGTTATTAGAAGACAATTCAGCAATAACTTGGCAATAAAATGGTCTCTCGCTAGAATACGACACTAAAGTCGTTTACATGGAGACTACGTCTGTATATTGTTTCCATCACGTTAAATTTCGTAATGGGGGAACTATTTTAAATAGATTGATGAAAGATTTGTTATCTGTGAAATAATAACTCCAGAAAGAACGATAACCCCATTAGGTGTTCGCTATTACAAATGGTATTGTCGTAAAATACATACATACATAGTGATTCAATACAAAGTTGATGACATTGGAATCAAATAGTACCACTGCCACTTCCACTGGATTGCAACATTCAGAACACACACTCATAATGCTTCAATAAACCTATTTTATTTCGAAGATATTCGTTGATTATTTTATCCGCCGTTTTTTAAGTTATAATTCAAGCGTCATGGCTAATATTGGCTTGTTGGTTACAAGTGTCAATAACCACCCACGTCTCTCTCTATTCGGCGAGTACCAATCTCGCTTCGTAAATAAGAAGGCAATATTCCGGGAGTATGTATCATATACGAACAATATGGGAAAATGTCGCTTAAAATTACTTGTTTTTCGTTCTTTAAATAATGTGTCAAATCAATCATGTTTCAGTTCTACGATCCCGGATGGAAGCGATACGAACCACCCATTACTTTGCCCCTCACCACAACTATCGCCCAGTTCCCTGTATATGCCGTAGACTACACCAAGGAACCGTTCACACTGCAGATCAAAAGAAGGGTTACGGATCAAGTAGTGTGAGTATGCCCCGTATATATTGATAGGTTTTAGCACGCACGCTTGAAATAACATCACTTAAAGTAAAAAAAAAAAAGTACATGGTAATTCACCAAATTTCGTGATTTCGATCATACGTATGTATATCTGCTATTTTTCAGTGGAATGTCGATATTGTAGTTTTTGTTAATTCGATCATGTGACTAGTTTTCAGGTAGTATTACAATGACTCGTTTGTTTTCTAAACATCCGCCATATTTGTCTGACCACGTGATCACTGTTATTGCATGCCACACCAATCCATTCCACTTCATATCAATAGGTATAGGCATGCGCTTATCTCAGAGTCAGATCTTTATCATTTCTGGAATATTGCCAAATGCATGTATATATTTTTAATTTATGCGTGCATGTGCTGATGCAGTCTAAAATGGCACATACCTTTAAGTTGGTTAAGAATTTTTTTTCAAATATTGCTGTATACTGCAGGAAGTCGATGCCCAAATTGGATTATAATTTATCCTATACTTAAAATATTGATTTACAGCATACTGTATAATAATATACTAATGCGCATGTGCAGTAAATACCGACATAATCAGCGCACATGCGTCTTAGAGTATTTCATTGTTTCATCGAACAAATAAAGATGTGAGTGCCACATGACATTTTGTTCAGTAGTAAATCAAATAATTATGTTTAATATTTTATTTTTACAGACAAAAAATATTTATGTAGTAAGATATATCGCGTTGTTTTTGTGGCGAGCATGGTGTAGTCAATGAAAAACTCAGTCTGTATGCGTCCTTGATTCACTTATACGTTAGGGATAGTTCGCTTCATCGAAGAACTTCTGCTTTGTTTTCCTTCCAATTAAAGCGTTTTTATGATGCGCAGTATACTGTTTTATAATTAGACTTATTATTAAGTTTATCCAGATTGTCACTTTAAATACTCGATTTTAATACATTGATCATAGTGACGAATATCATTGAAATGATTGCCTACTTCGCGTTGTCGCCATTTTAAGAAACCGTCTTATTTTTATCTATTAGTTTCAACACGTCACTCGGTGGGTTCTACTTCGCTGATCAATACATCACGATGTCTGCCAGATTACCTTCCGAAAACATCTACGGTTTGGGAGAACACAGACACGACAACTTCCAGCACATGTTAGACAAAACACAGAAGAATCTCGACACATGGCATGTATGGGCCATGTTCGCAAGGAATGCATTTCCTGATGTAAGTAAAAGTTCCCATCATGCAACGCGTTTGCTGGATTGGCGTTACGGTTGTCCAGTTTCACGTTCACGGCCTTAACACATGCATGCATGCATTTGCATAATTACATCACATGTCCTGACACAGATGTCAAGTTTTAAATCACAGTCCCTCTATCTATCTATCTATCTATCTATCTATTTATCTATAGAGGGACTGTGTTTAAATATATAAAAACTACGCCCGTATCTGGTATTGCAAATTAAACACTGGAATAATGTTTGGTGAATTATATTCTGCGACATACTAAAAATAATTTTCCTTTTCTCAGGATCTAGGACAGAATTTATACGGACAATTCCCGTACTACATGGTGGTGGAAAACGACGGTAATGCACACGGCGTTCTACTGGTGAACAGTAATGCAATGGGTAAGAAAAAAAAAGCAACAGACGAGGCCAAGCCGAGGAGGCACACGGCTACGCTCTGCGTTTAGGTCACATTTGCAATTAATTTAAAATAAAATAAAATAAAAATTAAACAAACATTCAAAGCGTCACACGTGCAGTGTGTTCAAATTTCGTGTTTGACACGTGTTTTATACTTTGCCTGTTATCCACATCGAACAGAATGAATTGCTGTGGCAATTTAAATAGTTAAATATTCGTGGATAAATTAGCGCTGAAAAGGGAAATCAAGAACAGAAAAGACTCGACTTCTTTATTTACACTCTAAGTATTAAATACTAAAAAAAAGTAAGTGTCATGCGCTGGCGCTGTTTATTTTTTATTGTCGTAAGAGGGCGTACACGCAGCCAAACATTATTTTACAACACAGTAAATTCATCATATTTTACCTTTTTTCAGAGGCAACGTTGACACCACTTCCATCAATAACATATCGGACCACGGGAGGGGTTCTGGACTTCTGGTTTTTCTTTGGACCAACTCCGGAAAATGTTGCTGAACAATATGGAGTGGTAAATGTTCTATATACAGTATATTGTTTTCACATTCCAATATGGAGTTTACATAGTAGTTGTTCATAACCTCTTTATTTGATTCACTCGCAATTT